AATTTTAGCCTTGGGTGTTGGATGTGCTTCGGGCTCCTCGTCGTCGAATGAATCGTATGCATCGTCTGTCGAAGGTAATCGAGGTAAAGCCTTCTTGATCGAAACTTGGTCTTCCGAGGAGAACATGTCTTCCTATAAGATGAACTTAGTTAGAAGAGCGAAGGAGAATAGAGCTGAATCTGCCTACTAGTGCTTCCATATGGTCAGCGACACCTTCCCACCACGCTTTGATTTCCCTTCTAAGCTTCTTCTTATCTTCTTCGTCTTTGCTCTCGCGATGACTATCCGACTCTTCTCCTTTCGACACCAACGACGTCCGGCTAACAGATACAACTGCGTTGCCTTTATTGCCATCTCCGCGGGGAGCAATCTGCAACCTCGGTACTCGCAGTTCAAAAATATCCTCTATTGGCTCCGTTTTGAACGACACTGTGTACTCCTTTGGAATCGTACCGGCACCAGCCCCTACGCCACCACTCTGCTCGTTGAGCGATACAGTAGCAAAGTGGCGGACGATATTGAACCGTTCTGGAGGGAGGCTCTGGCTTGATAGGTTCGCCGATAACGAAGAAGGGATGTGTTCGCATAATTTCGGCGAGAGAACGCAGATGAGAGGAGAGTATATAAGGAGTTCTAGATATTTCGCGAATGAGAACAAATACGCCCCATCACTCAGCTGGGTCTTCTCCGTCTGAGCTCCACATATAGAGCAGCTCTCCCATGCTTTGATGACCCTAGTTTCGAGGGTGGCATCAAAACCAGTAATGGTGCTGCTGACCTTTTCAACGTCTGTACCCGATTTAGCCGGCGAGCCTGAAAGAGAAAGAGGGTCAGGCCAGTCAATTTCAACACTGATCTTTACTCCGCCATGAATGAATCTCTTCTCATGCTTGCCCATAGTGACCTCACATCGTTTCTGCTTCGTAGGTACCGAGCCTACCATCCGCCCAATACCTCCTTTAGGAGGATCCGGTACAGGGCGAAAACGACTACAAGGTACATCGGCTTCATCAATCCATGTTGTGACTACATCTCCCAAAGATTGATCCTCCGCACAAGCATCTTGGTATTTATGCGTCCCAGATTCAAGATAATAACGGTATAGCATCCAATGAGGCTGTTCGCAGGAAGTATGGGTTTGAGTAGTCGCGGTCGTCGATTTGAGTATGGGACTAACGGCCCTAGTTGAGCTATCGGAGGAGTCTGAGGTTTGCGAAGATGACGAGGCTTCGCGACTTGGGACTGGCAAAAGATTTGGAGCTGGTGTTGGTTCCGTACTGGCACCACTGCTGTCATGACTGATCCCAGGAACTGGAATGCGAGTAGATACCAATATCGAAATTTCCTGTTGATTGAGAAATCCACATATACCAGCCATATTTCTTCCCTTGCGCCCTCTGTCCTTTTCCGGATCTGAGCCATTAGTTTGACCTTCCGGCTCCACTGCACCCCACCCCAGTAAACTATTCAATGCAGCTCTTTCATCGCCCATCAAGAGAATCTTGGAGTCAGGATGTGCTTTCTCCTTCTCCGACAATCGCACAAGCAATAACGGTGGATCAAACGACACGCCCGCAGACGTGGAAAGCACATTCTTCTGTGCCTCAATTCGGGATAATGTGGCAGAAAATGGAGTAGAAGAAGTTGGTATCTCTTGTGGAGATTGTAGTTGACTCGGAGGCGGGGACAGGAACGAGAACCTTCTGAATCGATTGCCGACTTCATCCATAGAAGAACGAACAGGGGACTCCTCGCCTGAAGATGGGAAGGGTATTACCAGGTCTAACGACGAGCGGACAGGGCCATCTCGAAAAGAGGTGGTTCGTCTCAGATTCCGCTTAGAGAAAAATGAAATGATGCCATTGGGGATCAGTGAAGTTCGGCTGCGGGATTTGTTAGAGGAATTACTGCTGATACTGGCCTTGTGCTCGTGGGATGAAGAGGGAGAAATAGGGTGTGATGAGCCATTTGAGGACGAATGGGTGTGTACTCGGACGCGAGGACGGGGAAAAGTAAGAGGAACATGGTGATTTAATAGCAGTTGCTGCTCAAGAAGAAGCGACAGATGGACGTATATTGAGAGTTTGAGCACTTTGGCGAATACATGATAATGTTGCGGGAAAGATACGCCTCTGAGGATGAACGTACCACCAACAAAACGTGGAGTAGAGGCTATGACACAAGAAATGAGGCTGAGACTGGAATGATTCAATATAGACACACACCATCCCATTCCTGGAATCCATAGAGAATACTGTCCAGGCTGTCAGAATGGTCAGGTAAAACGAATGAACCTGATCTAAACGAGCAGCCAAAGGAAGCAGGCACAATGTCAAATCCAGACTCTTGGATTTGAATGCCCAAAGGTGCCAAGCATAAAAGAAGATGCTTTGATTGCAGCGCCGGAGAGAGTACATCTGGTTCTGCCAACAGTTGGCGAAGCTGCTCTAGCCGTTCTTCATTCGAGAATGGGGTCTCGCTCGCAACACTGGACAAGATAGAGACAGCATCTTGTATTTCTTCTGAATCCTTCGCATTCGCAATTGCTGACCCTGTCTCAGAATCATGGCGTTTCTGCCTCCCCCGTTCCCTCTTCTCAGCTTTACCCCTCTTGATACCGCTAAGCCATTTTCCTTGAACAAGACTGTTTCCAAGATCATCTAATACATCCTCTAGAACATTCTCCCACTCTTCCAAATCCACATTTCTATCGCTCTCATTGAACAGTTCAGACAAGACAAATCGAATAAACCGAGCTCGATGTTCCCGGGCTGGGGTGGAAAGACGAACAAGATTTGGGGAATACTCTGCAGTTGGTAGCGCAGGGAGAGGTTTTCGATCCGCCATTACAAGTGAATAGCGTCTACGAGGTCTTTCATCGGTGGAAGGTAATGAGCTCAAGCACGGCGCAAGTTGAGCGTCATAGCGATTATCGCCGGCAAATCCGGCCCGAGATAACGTGACTTAGGGCAACACGACGCGAAGTCGCGACCTCGGCGCGACAATCTCAAGCCACCATAACTCCTGTAAGTGTAATAAGACTATACTCATCCTATTCATGCCAGGGCAGACCGCAGTCTTCTTTTCTGCGGCACAGTAACCATCTTACTTGACTAAATTGTCACGTTCATACTGCGCAGCCGTAGGTGACGCACTACACTCAATTGAACGGCCTTCAGCTCGGGAGCCTAGATCATCAGTATAAATAAAGCAGACATTTTCGTCGCAACTGATCATTGCCTCAAAATGAACTCTGAGGAAGAGAAAACACCGCTGCTCCCTGTCGAATACAGAGTTGATACTCACTACCCCACTCCTGGATCTTTCCCTCCTGCGGAGGCGCTTGCTGCCTTTCAGCAACAAGAAATCCTAAGGCGTCGCTCTCAACGCAGAAAACGGATTCTTCGTCACATCTTTGGTTTTCTTATTCTGTTCTTTGGCTTTCGATTTATTCTACACGGCTTTCATCATTTCCAAGGTTATCACCACGGCTATCATGAACATCACCCTCACTGGGGCTACCACGATTGGGTGGGTGTTACTCAGGATGAAATTATCTTTAAACTGAATTTTTTTACGCATGCTCAGTCCAATGAGATCGGTAGCTCAGAATATCCCATTCCTCCAGAGTTTACCGTCGAAGAATGTGCAGACTGGGACGATGGACAACACACTCAATCGAATGGACATTCCAGTGTACAGCACACCTTCGAACTCCCCGTATCTTCTGATCTACTTTTCCTGGTCGCTCGAGGTCCTTCGTCCATGGGCGAAGTGAACATCGTGCAAGCGGAGGAGGAGAGCGACTCGGCCGCCATCACAGTCATCACGCACTATGATGAAGATGGTTCCGATCTGCTTGACCTGATAAAGCTCTGTCGGGTGGTGGCTCGTGAGGGCGAGAATGGGATTGGAATATTTGTAAGTAGAAACCCAAAAATGACATCCATCCACTCTCAATTTTCCATAGTCTGTTCGCCCACCTCGTCGGCACCCTAACCGTCATGTCTATTTCAATGTCACGGTCTCTCTCCCCAAAGGGTCCGGGGAATCCCCTCTCGTTGTATCTAACTTTACAACAAAGATGAACGGCATCTTTGAACATCACGTCGCGGACTTGAGCGACTCTGTCTTTTTCAACTCGATTTCTCTGCGGGGTGCTATCAAACCTATTCAAGTTAAGGTCCGTCCACGGGTCCAGTTCTCCTTCATTTGCTGGACTAATTAACTTCTCCCAGTCGTTGAAAGCCGGGACTGCTATAATGGAAACTGTCCACTCTCCAATTGAAGGCAACTTTACCGTCAATGATTCTTTAAGACTCTCAACTGCGAACGCCCGTATCGACGCTTCCGTCAACATGCTGAACAAAAAAAGCAGCGAAGACAAAACAAATCTCGAAATGGACACCGTCAACGCGTATGTTGAAACTTCGTTCTCGTCAGCATTGAAATTTGCTGAGATTAGTACTCTCTGAACCACAGGCATATCAAAGCTTCTGTTTCTCTGTTTTCCGTTGACTCAGAGGGGGACAACTCATCCTCTGATGGATTATTCGACATTCGTGCCCACACTGCAAGAGGCTCCATTGACGTTGCCTTCCCTACTGCTCCCATCAACTCTACCGTCTTCCTGAATGCCGATACTGCTCTGGGGTCGATTGACGTCAATATGCACAATACTTTTGAGGGTGCTTTTGATGTCCATTCGACTCCCCTTGATAGAACAGAAGTCGTCCAACAGGAAGCAGAGGATCCCGAAGGGAAGAACAGGAAGAGGAATTTAATCTTTGATAGTGTCGGTGGAGGATCTGTTAGAGGAAAGGTTTTCTGGGGCGACAAGGCAGAACAGAGAGGCCTTATTCGACTGAAAACGGCACTGAGTCACATTTTGCTGAAAGTGTAGCTATGTATTTGACACACCTCAATAACATTCGCTTTGCCATCTAAGTAGGACTTGGGTTACTTTCAGTCTCGTAGTCAATACTCTAATTAGGGTCGAGGCATTAATGGGGTAGTGGTAACCTGGGTCGTTGCCAAGTTTTAACAGACGGGTAGTCGACCCGCCGGGGGTTCGATTCCCCCTTAATGCATCTAATTTTTTCTCTTAAGTATTTACTTCTCCGAAGTTGTTGTGCCTACAGGCCTATTATCACTCGAACACTTTCTCCATCAGCATATAACACATTCGGAAGCTGGTTTTGTTAACCGAACCTCTAGTCTAGCCCTCAGAGTACCATTTTGTGAGGCATATGAATTTGACCTACGTCAATTTCGGAAACTATCAAATTGAACTGGAAGAAAAAGAGAAGAAAACGGCTCACGGAGATCGAATACTGGATCCAATCAAACTCCCGTCCTCAAGGGACACCACAATCTTATCCTTCTTCGCAGGAACAAGCATTGAATGTTTCATCCGAATGTCTTGAGACGGTTTAGGTTTTGAGCTAGTATACGAGGGATCGTCGTGTGATGGCGAAACATCTTCAATCACGAAACGAGAATCAATCGGTGTGGATTCGCTGTTTTCCAGGAGAGTCAACGTCAGATCCCACTTGGGATGTTTACTCGAAGGGACGGAGAACGCTAATCTCCAAGCTCGGCCTGAAAAGTGTGCAATGAGTTCAGATCAAGTCTCCGAAGGATTGAAGAAGCAAAAAAAAAAACTCACGTTGGGCAATAAATTCCAACGTTACATCCTTCTCGAAATTCATCCTCTTTACAAATTGTGCAATGTCCATTTTCACCAAGAAGGCTGGTTCCGCACTCGGCATGTTTTCCACCGTGATATCATCGATAGGTATTCCGTCACCGAATACCATCTCATGCGAGGTAGGCAGGCGCATGAAATCTCGATGACATCTCAGAGACTGGAAAAGACCTTGGTCGTTTATGAGAAGACATGCATGTCGGATGTCCGCCCTCGTTTCATCTGTTAGCGGCGAGCCAAATGGTAGCAAGGCCGAGAGAAGGGAGGGGAAGCGGGTCGATTCACTCGGCCGATTGACGACGGACCAATGGAAGAAAGTATGTTGCTGAAATAGAGGCTCCTGTAGAAAAGTCGATATTGCGATATTATACGTGGAAAGCGCGTCTTTGCAACCGCTCAACACGGTTTTGCATTCCTCTAGGTCAACACTTCTCCCTAGAAGGTCTTGTATCACATTGGAGGCCCATTCGCGCACTTCTTTGATCGTACGAGATTTGCCGCCGAACCAACTCCGCTTGTGTTTCGGGATGAAAGTGGGAGGAGTATATGGGGTGCTAGACGATGGGCTGGTTAGAGGTAGAGGTGCCAAGTTTGGTTCGTAAAGAGATGCAGAGCTTGATGCATCACCGGCTGCTGAAACAGTCACAGTGCTAGATGACGCGTAGTTGGATCGTAGTCTGTACGGATTCGAAGGCGGCGAATACGAAGAATCTGGTTCACTTAGCTCAGTTGGCTGGCCGGAATGAAGTGAAGAAGTTTCTGCCGTAACAACAATATCATATGAAGGAGGGGCATCAGGTACATCCTTGATGACCTGAATGACAGGATTTCCACTTTTCACTTCGGTGGGCGTAAGGGGTAGGGTTTTGTCGTCGAGTATCATGTCACAGATAAGCCAGTGTAGGAGCCCAGAGACGGTCGAGAGAATGTCAAGAGACCGTCGCGGTAAAGGAATAAGAGTGGTTTGAATGTAACTTTCATCAAAAAAGCAAAAGCAGTGCGCGATACAATCACCTGCAGCCAATTAAAACGGCTGACATTAGGCGTGCAATACAATGAAAGGACAATCCACATTGAAACACTGCGCAGTGGCAGCTGCGGCCCAGCTCAGGATGATTGACAAGCGAGAAGAGCGCAGTATACTAAGTACGCTGACAAAGTACATACTCTAACAGATTATACATTCAGCATCACCTTGAGGTTTTGTTAATCGAGCTTCGAGTCTTCCTGAGAGTGACTCGTCAGCTCCAATATAAGAGCTTCCTCTAACCAACAATGTATTGAATCAGCAAGTCGTATAAAAGTAGCTGCAAGGACAAACTTACGCATGTTGCAAGCTCGTGCCCAAGGGAACTCCATCCAGGGGAACTACTATCTCTGACTGACGTTGACGGGAGAAACGTTCAGAAGCCGAACAAAGCTCCGCCTGAGACTGTATTCTGAACGTGATGGGTGGTTTCTTGCCACCCGAGCGGTCACCCAGAATTCCGGCAAACATCGACGAAGGCGAGGGTGCGGGAGTTGGAACGGGTTCGTATTGCAGCAGGTCGACTGGCTGTTCAACTTTTTTGTTGGAAGATGCATCTGGTATGATTAATTGAGAGTCTAGCCATGTGGGTGCACTGTTTTCCATTATGGATAGAACGATACACCATGATCCCTGAGTAGGGCCGTTATGCCTACTTCGACGCTTATCGGCAACGCAGAGGGCGAGGCGCCATAAGCGTCCTACGAAGATTAAAACCAATAAACCAAGATTTAGGCCAACAACAAGCAAACGCACCTCGAGCAATAAATTCAACAGCGACTTCATTCGACACCCTCATCCTTTTCTGGAAATGTGGTATACGAAAATCCATCGCAAACGCACCCTGATCACCTTCCATATTCTCAACATTCACATCGTCGGGTATCATAGACTCTCCTAGAAGCATTTCATCTGTGCCAGAAAGGGACGCAAATTCCGGCGAAAGCCTCAGCCTTTGAAATAACAGCTGGTCATCTGTTATGAGGCATGCCTGTCGGACCTCAGTGAGGATAGAGGGAGAAAGAGGTGCGGTATAAGACAGAAGGTGTAAAAGGAGATCGTTGATTTCGCCTGATCCATCGTTATTCTGCTCAGGCGGTCGGTTGACGATAGCCCAATAAAGTGGGGTATGAGACTCTATAGACTTTTCTTGCAGCAGCAATGAGAAGGATAGAGAGTACCCTGAACAAGCTTCCGCACAACTTTCGAGGATACTTTGAGCAGCAGTTGAATTCCCATTTTTTACCTTGACCAGATCGCGTACGATACCCAGAACGGTAGAGCGTATCTCGCGAGTTGTCTGAGATGTGCCAAAACTCCACCAACTCGAAGCAGGAGCTTTCCCTTTCCCTTTGGATGAATAGGATGGTGAGGTGGGAGAAATTGGGGAAGGATTGGGGGACTGTAGGGAAGAACTCGATGAGGAGGGGTATGGGACTTTAGTGTCACTGAAGGTCTGAGGGGGTGCGCTGCTGCTAGATGGACTAGCAACTTCATAGGCGGGCGGGGCATCTTCTGGTTCTTGGTCTTGTTGTTTGATGATCATGGTCAGGAGAGAGAAATTTAGGTCGGAGCTATGCAAGTAATTCTGATTTACAAAAGTCGGCCTAGAATTGCCGCAGTCCTGAATGTCGCTGAGCGCTTATTTCACAATTAAATGCTTAGGGCGTCACGCAGCGCAGCGCAGCAGCCTGCGAAGATTCACCGTCGTGTTGACAGGCTGTCGAGGATATACAGTACACGCGTAAATACAATATCCGAGATGGTATCACCAACCTTCCGAGCCGTTTCCTACAGAAGAATTCTGCAACACAATGAAAACGAGAAGAGACACCAAAGAGCTGAGCACTCACCGTGTCATCCTGCCGCCTTGCCTCCGAGTAAATCAACAAAAGCAAAAGGAAAATCTCATCCTCTGCCAGCGCCGTCCTTGTCAGTGATAGTAACGGTGGTTTCGATTTCGTGAAAAGATGGGGTCGGTATGGAGTGGCAAAGCGGGCAGCAACCTTTCGCGTTCCATCGCTTTTGGTTGTTACAGCCTAAGGAATTGTGTCAGCCCGTTCAAAACAGATGGACAAAACGAGACGTACTGTCCATTCATCGTTCCCACTATATTGGACTGCATACTCTTTCCTCTCTTTTGCCCATCTCCAATATCTTTCCTTATGAAGCACCCTTGCATCGTATTGGAACTTTGACCAGTCCAAATAGAGTTCAGTCTAATAACTCACTTGTTCACAATGCCACCCTTTTTTGTCTTCAAATCCGCGATTTTCTTCTTATGGCCGTGAACTTCAATCGCCTTATCTCTCCAATGAATGGCCCCAACGGTAACACTTCCAGAGCCACCTGCGGGATTTGAGTCTTTAAGAAACGTGATCTCTCGTCCAAGAAATGAGAAGTTAGTTTTCGCCACGTATATGGGGGAACTATCATGTGTAGCAAGTAAATTCGCATTGAGAATGTTGCCTCCGTTGTCGAATTTGACCTCCATGGAGAAGATCGTGAAAGTTGTCAAAGAGTTTAGATGCCGAATAACATTCTCACATCCCCAGATTCATCTCGCATTAATGTCATACGAATGAGGCATGCCCATTATCATTATGCAACTTGGAACTACCAGCAATGCATAGATGAGGATATGAATAGCTACAGTGAGATTCGCTTCCAGCTATTGAGGTCACTAACGGGTCGTAAGGTCTCCGGTACCAGCGCCAATATCCAAACGCGGCGCACGGAAATTGTGCGCTCGGACAGCAGTAAACAGAGATAGAAAGGCAAAGACTGTGGTTAACACCACTTTGACAAAAAAGTTGGGGCGGGTGGACGTGCAAAGAAGATATTATTAAAGTATTACAGGACGCGGGGAGGGTTTGTGGACGTGATGGTAGTTCGCGATGAAAGCCTGATGAAAGCAGCACAGATCATTGCCGCGAATTGCCACTCGGCAAAACATGCCTATACGGGACGCCGGTCTCCAGACATTATCCCGGTACTGACACCACGCACTACCGTCTCTGGGACCACCGCAGTAAGAAAGGAAGTAAGAAAGCACATTACTCATCCCTGCACTAGAGGGAAAAACTCAATCGACTTCATTTTCCCGGGAAAAAAAGTAACAGAAATGAAGCTTCCCTCACAGCAGACCGAGCAAAACAGAAATAAGCAGTAATGTACATCCATTTTGGCGATACCTCGACCGAGAACCTCGAAGCCATTTTCATATAAGCGATCGCATCGAGGATCTGGGTTGTGCAGGTCATCATCTGGTTCCTTAGTTCTGAACGACAATGGAATTCTAACCTTTTGGGTCCGGATTTAGAGAGAACTAACACCATCACGATGATTGAAGTATA